CCGCCCGCTGGGGATTGGCTGCTGGCCCCACGTGGGCAACGTGTGCGCTGGGGGGGAGGTGGGAATGGCTCAGCCCCGCGGGGGTCTCCTCGCCCGTAGGAAGAACCCGGGGCTGCCCAGCCCTGCCCGCCCCTGTGTCCTAGTCCTGGCCTGGCTCTTATTGTGTTTGGGAGGTAAAGCCACCCTGGCGCCCGGCTGCGTGTTGGAATAAATCCCGACTGACTTCGTCTTTATTAGTGGTCAGGGTTCTGCCTACACTGGGTTTGTTCCTTTCTTTCCCCGCCCCCAGGGGTGTGTTTGAAATGAAATGATCTTTGATATATGCCAGTGTGTTGGTATGAGACCAGAAGAATTGCAAAAATCTCGAACTCTTGGTGCAGCGATAACACTTTTTTATGAGACCAACTGAGAATAATAAAAAGCATCATTTCTAAACCCAGAGTTAGAGATTTTTGCACTTCTTTTTTATATGTACCATGTGTTAGGCCAGCCGTGAGAAGTTACTGCTCCAACCCTGCAGCCTTGCTTAGGATTGCCCTAGAGTCTCCAGAAATTTGATATAAATCTTCAGGAAACTGCTGGGAGTCTCCCAGGAGATCAGTGATACGGCAGTTATTAAAATTAATGTTAAATGTTGAATCTGATTTGTACAGTAGTCTAGTGGGTTTTTTAAATGTAATAGTTGTGTGAATTTGCCTTCCTGAGTACAGTACAGTAGATCAGTCAATGTCTTTATACCATGTGATAAAACCTCCCCGAATAGATTCAAACAGAGTCAGCAACCCTAGACTCACTCTGTATTTCGGGGTCCTGCCAATATCTCCCAGGCCGGTGCAAAGGAGAGTTTATTAAGAATGCTTTGTATTGGCTTTGGCTGTGTAACATGCACACCCCCTGCCCCATTAGGAGGAAAGCCTTCCAGTTTGCTTTTTCCTTATGTGGTTTGCAGCTGGAACTGCAACATTGAAATTTTCCAGTTACTTAGTTACTTGGCAACTAGTTGTGCTCTTTAGGGCCCTGCCACACATTCATATTCAAACCAGGTAGAAACCAGCAATGGAGTTGGTGCACCATTTCAAGCATTAACTTTGTAGTTGGTTGGCTCTAGGTAACCAGATGGTCATTTTTATCATCTGATCCTTACTTTGCACTTGCGGCCTATGCTGATTGCCCGGATTAACCAGTTAATGGTGTGATAAGTACTTTTCATGTGTAGGCAGTCTGCATGTACTGTGGGATTGCACAATTAGTTGCGTAATGTATGTAACATGTACCAGGAGCCTTAGAAACAGCTGTGGAGAGTACCAGAGTTAATGCGGAGAGTATGAGGGACCTAGCATATAAGCAGTTTTACTTTTCTTTCTCTTCCACATAAATTACTAATGTGTAGTGGTAAAGAAAAATAACCTTTTTTCTAAGTTCATATACTTTGCATACATGCACATTGGCCATGTTAGCCATACAGGGAAGTTTTCTACTGATCCTATCTAATTGCCTCCCCCATGGGACAAACCTTTCCTAAGCAAAGTAGTTTTAAGGAATAAAGTCCTTCCCTGATTAGGTTACAGTAGTTTGGCATACTACTGCAGCCTGCCAAATCAGGCTAGGAGGTTACAGTTGTAGTGTGGTGCTAATTGCCTTTCAGATGCTAAAGAAAAGCTGTCCAGTGTAGGTCTCATATCTCTGGAAGTACAAGTGTTCTGCCTTAACTACCCCTGTTTCTTGGGGAGGCAGCAGGAAGCTGAAAAATGTTTTTAAAAAGCTCTGTAGTCTCAGGCCAGAAACTGACATTTAGCTTCCTGGGGTTCCCCACTCATAAATATAAACCTTGACATTCTTACTAGTGATTTATTAGCTTGAAACCCAAGTTGTTAGTGGTAAGTTCAAGACAAGAAAATTTTGGTGGTTTAATCACATCAGGAAGGATAAGGAATATATGGAAGAAAAGTCACACCCTTTAAATAATGCATCTTTTCATTTATTTATTTGATTAAATGGCACTCCTCCCCCAAAATAGCCTCAAGGCAGCTTACAATAAATGATAGCAACAGATAAAATATGAAAATGAAACAGCTCCCCAAACACTACCCCAATACTTAATCCCACTTGCAAAAAGCCTGCCAAAATAAAGATCTTGTACCACATCCAGAAGATGTCTAGTTATGGACTCTTAACGGGTTTCAGTGGTGGAGGAGTAGGGGATGTCTCTAAAGCGGAGGAGTTACTACCACGAACAGCTTCCCACGTAGTCTTGCTAAATGAATTTGGTGCGCAGATGGACCTTTCAGGGGGTTGCTCTCAGCTGATCTTGAGGATTTGAGAAGTAAGGGAGGAGGCAGTCCCTATGCCAGCAAAGCCTAATGTAGATATATTATATTTCATGGTGTATAGGTCAACCCCCAGCTTTCCAATTTTGAAAGGTAAGGATTTTCATATGCATGGTGTATAAGTCAGGGCCAGGTTTGGTGCTCATCTGGCGTAGCCCCATCCTCTGCAAGTGGCACCAACAGCACCTGTCTCAGGAGATGGGGCCATGCCAGCCGAACACTGTGCCCAATCCTGTCCCCCGCGAGCAGTGCATCCCCAGCCAAGCACTGAGCCCGGCCCCATCCCCTGTAAGTGGTGCCAGGTTTGCAGGGGATGGGCACATGCCAACCAAGCACCGAGCTCAGTCCTGTCCCCTGTGAGCAGTGCCAGGCTTGCAGGGGAGCCACACCAGCCAAGTGCTGAGCCTGGCCGTCTGTTGCAAGCAACACTGCCAAGCCCGGCATCACTTGCAGGGGATGGGGCTGGGTTCAGTGCTCAGTTCGTATAGCCCCATCCCCTGTAAGCAGCACTGGTGTGGCCGAGCCAGTGATGCTCACAGGGGATGGGGCCATGGCAGCTGAGCACCGATCCCCTGTGAACAGTGTTGGAGTTGGGCTCTGCTGGCACAGCCAGATCCGCTATGAGCAGCGTTGCCTGGACTGCACCAGTGTTGCTCGCAGGGGATGGGGCTGCACCAGCTGGGCACTGAACCTGGTGCTGCTTGCAGGGGATGGTGATACGGTGTCTAAGTCAAGGTTGAATTTTAATAGTTAATAATTAGACTTCAAACCTCGACTTGTACTCTGTGAAATGTGGTAGTTCTGGAAAAAAGGTGCTATTTTCATTGCTTATTTTGTTCAGGGAACTTGTTTAAACTAACATACAGATTTGCCTACATGCACGCACACACACGCATAAGTCAAAACAAGGTTTACATCAGTTTGTCATAATAGGATATCCAAGGCTCCGTACCCCTGCAGGTTGTTTTTTCTTTTCAAATGGCAAAAGAATGGTCTTGGATCATTTTGCCTTCTAAGTAAAATTGCATGTTATGGATTTAAGTTAAAGCAGTGGCATCAACCGTATTTGTCATAGTCTGGATCTTATCTGCTCGGTCAGCAGCCACCAGCCTTTGACCAATTGTGGGCTGGAATAACCTGGCTCAGGTCTGAAGTGGGCTGGCTAGCTTCTGTGGCACATTTCGGGTTGGGGGAGGTCCTTGCATCCATGCCAGGGCAAAGCCGCTGGCAGCTATGTCTGCTGCTACTGCTTACTTTTCTCAAGTTCCTGTTCCCTGCCTGCAGCATGGGTGCTGCTGCTTCTCCCTGCTTCCTTCCTGCCACCTCTTCCACTGCTTTCTGCTGAAGTAGGGGTGCAGCTACAAGCTGCCTGACCCTGGCATAGCTCCCCACTAGCTGAAAGCTATGCCGTCTTGCCAGTTGTGGCGGGGGGCAAGGAGAAACGGTAGTGGTGTGGGCACAGGTGGAAGCTGTGCAGCCCTGGCCTGGGTGTGAACACAGGCACAAGCAAAACTCTCCAGTTCCATAGATTTGATGCAGCCCATGGGCTATATGTTGCCAACCCTTAAGTTAACTGCATACAACACGTGGGTTTAACAGATTCTGTACAATCTCAGCTTTCATTTTAAATTAAGCCTCTGTACATTTGAAAGGTATGGCAGTGGAACCACGGGTGGGTGGGTGTGTGTGTGTGGCAGGGGTGTGATTAAGCCTTGTAGTTATACTAGATGGAAATATACTGGCATAAAACACCTTGCTATTGATTCTTGTAGTCCACAGTAAGATGTAGTATCACTGAACTGTGTCTGTATTATAATTACTATGGCTTCCTTATGTAGACATAGCCCAGGCTTTTATATTCCAGATTGACTGACTATAATCCTTCAGGTGTAAATTGATTAACTGGTGGAGTCTGCAGACTTTCTGAAAGCGTGGCTGTAAGATGTGCTTCTTGCTCTGCCCTTTATCAGTTTTGTTCGAAGTATTCATTCTAAAGCCTCGGTACTGACATTCTGAAATTTCAGGTATTTTATTGATGACCTTTTAGCCCTTAGGATCAAAAAATGGAATGGGATGAACCTGACAGGGGAAGAGGAAATGTGAAACTGCATAATGAATAGGGATACAAGGATTGGAAAGGAGAAAGAGACATGGGAGGCTGGTGTAGGTGGTAAAATGAAGAAAGAAATGATCATCCTGCTGATCAGGGTCTTTTCCCACTGACAAGCTGTATGCAACAATAAGGGGCTGAGTAAACCTTAGGTTGTAGATGATCTCCATGTTCTAGGCTGTTCTGATCAGTCTATTCATGGACTGGGTGGAGAAAGAAAAATGGTTGCATGTCAGCTAGTCCAGTTGCTGGACTTGCTCAACAAGTAATTGTGGACTTCAGGGTTAAGTTGCAAGCTACTGTGCATGTTTTGCTAATTGCAGATTAATGTAGTCTCACTTTGATTTTTTTTATAGGCAACTAATTATCTTTTGTCTTTGTTGCAGAGTCAACTGTTCATTTTATTTCAAAATTGGAGCTTGTCGTCATGGAGACAGATGTTCTCGATTACACAATAAGCCAACATTTAGCCAGGTTTGTGTCTTCTAATAGAACTTGTATATATGTTTCTTTAAAATAATAGTTATAAAATGCAAAATTAAATAGTTTGGTTTTGGCCCCAATTTTTATGGGATTTTTCTGGGGGTGTTCCAGTTTTCTTCTCCCAGCATTTCTAATTGTCTCCTGTCACCCTTAATGGCTGCAGGAAGCGATGCTGTTGTAAGCTTGCCTGTAGTAGAGACCAACCAGTGCTAACTTTCAGGTGAGTGTGCCTTCTCAATGATGTGTAGGCACTTAAACCATCCCAAACTGGTTATATCACGAACAGTGGCACCAATCCCAAATAGAAGAACGCAAGTTCTTTTTTGTTTACCAATTAGGACTCTCCTCTGACATGAACGAAAGAGACGGTTCCCTTATTGTCTCTTGATCTCTGACCTGGGCTGTAAATGTTCGGCTTGGACTTGCCCGGCACTTTGGGTGTGGAAGAGTGGTTTCTCAGCAGTGTCTGTCTACCTGTGTATGGACCTAAACCAGTTGACCATACAGACTATCCTGCCCTTGGCTGAACTAGTGTTAGCAGCAAAATAGGGCTTAAATATCTGTATTTACTTATTTTTACATCACGTTTATTAATACTAAAATTCTCAAAGAACCTCTTCCACACTGGCAAAAATTATTATATTGAACCTCTTATTTAAGCTTTTCTATTTTGTTTTCTATCACTGCTGATTGTCAAGGCACACAAAAGATTCTCTATTTGTTAAAGTCAATAAAATAATTTTCATACGCATTAAAACTGTTTTGGTGCATAGGAACATTTTTATTGACTTTATCCTTATAAATATAGCATATGCAACAATGGAGTCCCCTGCTAATATGCCTCAGCTATGACGAAGGGGAATTGCTTCCCATCCTTCAGTTAAAGTAGAATTTTCCCATTTCAAGTAGCCACTTTAAAATTGTTCCTGCAAACTTGTTAAACTAAGTACAGCAAAAGCTTTGTTACCTGGCACCCCCCAATCCCCATGGGTGCCAGATAACAAAATATGCCAGTTAACTGAGAGGCCTGAACAGGCATCTTTACCTGTTCAGGCCACCACCTCTCCTGCCATGTCTGGGGTGTTGCTGCCCCTCCCGTGGGCCCCAAGGGACAGGGAGGTGGACCCAGCACAGGCTGCTTTGCCCCGGGCCATGGGGGCTCGTCGAAACTGGAAGTGCCACTGTAGGCACTTCCAGTTTCGCTTTTACCTTACAAGCTGGCATGCTGGTTAATAGAGGATGCCGGCTTGTAAGGTGCTGGTTAACACAGCTTTTACTGTAGTATCATCTGAGAGACTTAAATTATTAGTTTTATTTACTGAAGCTAATATGCCAGCCTATTTAGAGACCTGGATTTAATTTCCAACTCCGCCACTGACTTCCTATCACGTAACTTTAGAAATAGATAGTTGCCTTCCATGTTGGGTCTCTAAATATGTTTGCAGAGCCCTTTTTTTTTTTTTTTTTTTTTACCAGCAAAATCAGTTTTTCTGTGCTGATAAGAGATTTGCTTTTGCTGGAAGTGATAAAAAGGAATGGCAGTTAAGTGGATTGCTGGGCTTGTCACAGTTGTTTAGTGGCATCACTGACCTGTGTCTGTAGTGCTGCACTTTGCAGACATGCTGGATTGTGATGCTGGTAATGAATCTGACAGTTGCAGTTGATCTGTTTTTTGGAATTAGTTATTTATGCAGGTAATAGAAATCAGCTGTGATAGAAAACAGATGAACAGATTTTACTAATGGGGTGCTCATTATGCAGACATTGTTTTGGGAGTGCCGTGTTGATAAAATCAGTGTACGATTTAATTATGATAGTATATATTCTTACCACTGGGTGGCATTGAGAAATGTTGGCAAGTGAGCAGCAACATAGTCTCTATGACTCGGAAGGTTTATAGCTATCACCTAGCATGTCCCTTAGCATATTGTAGGACCACCATACATAGGTTGCTGGCTCCATGTTTTAAATAATAATTTTTTACTGCCTTAGTAAAATTAATTTGGGGATGAAAAGTCATGCTAATTTTAATTGTAAACTTGTGCTTTAAAGTAATTGACTCTAAATCTTTTTGAGCTACGTACAGTGATGTGGACATTGGAATTTTATGTAATGTTAGTTTACTAACTTAAACATGATTTGTTTTTTCAGACAACTTGATTTTAAGAAGAACGGTACAAATGTAAGGTTTCAAGTCTGCCTGGTCTAATTCTTCAAGTAAAAGCAGAAGGGCTAGAAGGATATTGTCCTTAATTGAAGGATCGGAAAACGTGGACATTTTTTAAACTATTATATTATATAAACAGAGAATCCACCAAGAAAATGCTTGTTGAAGCAAAATGATATAGCTTGATGGTGTCTGAGAAAATATTTTAAGCATTTAAGGTATTGTATGCAATATTGCGCATGTGTTACAGACTACAACGTTTTTCTAGGCCCATGGTAACAAATCTGGCAAAATCAAAGTTCAAGAAAATATATAACAACATCTTTTATTCAAGATGTTTTGTGGCTGTCATGAACTCATCGTCAAATAATCACTACCAAATCTTGTCTTTGGGAAACTTCACTAGAAAAAATGTACACAGCTCTTTCTTGGTGGTTAATTTAACTGTTTTCATAATATGATGGTTGAGATGCTATTTCAGAAGATATTCCACAAATAAAAAAGGGAATCTTGTGAATAAAATTTTATTTTTAGCTGTTTGCAAACAAGTTGTCTCTTTGCAATTGTCTATTATATGCACAGCAGCCAGTAGAATTCCCCTTTTTATTTTTTTTTCCCCGCAGACCATCTTGATTCAAAACATCTATCGTAACCCCCAAAACAGTGCACAGACGGCTGACGGCTCACACTGTAAGTCCCACAGTTGGAGAAATTTTTTTAAAGAATGGTGTTAAAGAGCCCACTCCTAATTGAGAAAACAATGTTGACTTCTGAGCTGCTGACATAAAGCTGTTGCAAACAGGACAAGTGATGGAACTCTTCTTGCACACATATCAAGAACTTGTTAAATGTATGCAATTAGAGTGCAACAAGTCTGTTTTAAAGAGAGTAAACAAGTTGGACTTCTCAGTTCAAAACTTGTTGATGTGCTGTTAAAACCTTGTCATTGAGTGTTGCATTCTAATTTTGTTTAAGTAATTAAACTGCAGGCATTTCTCAAGTTCTTGATATGCTATGAAAACATAGGTATATGTATTATGTACGGTAAGTTGCCCAGAATTACAGGTTTTATTTCACTTTTTAATTTGAATGGAGATTTCATATTGTGCTCTAATTATTGTATTATAGAACAGAGCCTATTCTATTTCAATATATTTTGTGGGTTGTGATGTTTCTAAAAAAAATTAAAATATTGAATAAAGCCAGATTCAAACAAATGATTATGCCTAAAACCTTGCATATAATAGCTGTTGCTGTGACATTTTGATGACGTTGATTATATAAATATTTTTGTGCAACCCTATCTTAACTCTTTTATGATGACATTGGTGAGCAAAGATTTTTTTAATATTAAAAATACAATAATGGAGTATGAGATCTCTATTGCTTTACAGTGTTAGGTTTATACAGAAAGGCCACCAGCTAAGGGAAAATTCTCCCTCTTAGGAGATTATAACTACCTCTCTTTCAGCCCTGGAACTCGACTAAAGCGATCACCTAAAGGAAACCAGTTTCGTGTTAAATTTATTTTCCATAATATAAAGTTGTTGCGTTTTGTATTTCAGACCATTGCCCTCTTGAACATTTACCGTAACCCTCAAAACTCTTCCCAGTCTGCTGACGGTTTGCGCTGTAAGTTCATACTAGTTCCTTCACTGGTTCCCTGGGCTTGATTGTCAGAGCTCAGTGTCGACTTAAGCTGGTCTACCATTTTAGTTTTAACGGATCAAACTGACCACATTTCATAATGTATCAAACATTTTTTGTTTTTTGTTTGTTGTTTTTTTTTTGTCCTCACCTCCACAAGAACTTGTTTCTGAGGAGAATTCGGATACTCATCCTTTAAAACAGAAAGTGGTCAAAATGGTATCCCCTATAGAGCAGTTTTTATCTACTGCTCTCTCCTTCCCTCCTTCCTCCCTGCCACTTGCATCCTAGAAATGTTTTGCTTTATGTTTTATGCTAATACATTAGACTCTACTGTCCAGAAAGTAGGACAGACTACACTAATTTCATCCTGAACATGTTATCCACCCTATATTCATATTAAAAGCAGTTGAATTTGGAACTTTTCAGATTGCATGCAAAAATTTTTCTTAGGCTAATGATGCAGCTTCCATTTAGTGATTACTTTGGAAGGTGCATTTAGACTGCTGAAAGCTACTCTTGGGTAGTTGTCCTTTTAGCTAGGTAGATGTTTAAGACTCTTGGAATTTGAATTTGCAAAGCAAGTTACTGAGTTGCATATCTATATAGTAGGAAAAATATAAAGAGTACGCTTAAGGAAAGGAAGCTGTTTGGGTAGTGTTAGGAAATTATTTCCTGATTTTACTAGAAGTAGGAAATGGGCAAAAAGTAAACTGAAATGACATTAATAATTGTCAGTCTGTGCTTCCTAATGTATTGTAATTGATCAGTTACACTAAAATAAGACACGAGCTTTAGAATTAAAAAGAATGGGTGGTATTTTTCTAACTCTTACCTTGTTATGAATTGGACATTGTCTGTGTGGTAATAGTTTTGTTTAGCTATTCCTTTAACTGTTGAATCCTAGACTAGTTCAGATTAGTTACCAGCGTATACTTGGGCATTTTCTGAAATCAGACCCATTTCAGAATGGACACTATGATTTGCAAAATGAGTGTCTTGTAGAATAAGCACCACTTCTTTCTCCTTGAAACAAAGTTACTACCCCTTTTAAAGGGCACTTAAATACTTATAGTGTTACAGTTATCAAACTGGGCATTTGTTTAAAAATGGAATAAGTTACTTGTTTGTATAGCCTTAGTATTATTGGCCTCTGGGCCTTTCATTCTAGCAGTGAGGTGGTGTTTGTATACTGTTAAGAACATACGGGTGGATATTGGGTATTTCCTACATGTCAGCTAAATTCTCAATGAGCTGGTAACTAATTTGCTCAAAGTCAAAGTTTGGCCTGCTGTGGAGCTGTTTAGATTATATTTGCCCAGACTCTGCAAAAGTCTTTAATTGAAGTAAACATTATCCAAACTAGCATTTAAATGTTGGTATCAAACTTTAGCTTTTTAAAATCTTGATAAATGGGTAATTACTTAACAGAGCCTAACTGTACCTGCTGTGGTACAGCTATAGCCCTGTTATCAGTGGGTTTGCTGAAACCCCCTTTTCCCCGGGCTTGTGAATGTTATCCCTGTTCTAAACAATGCATGTATTTATAACGGATAACCTGGGTAGATATTTTAATGCTTATATTGTTGCTTGACTGTATTCCTTTTCATTGTCGTCGTAAAGGATTAACCTTAGTTTTTACCAGTAATAGTTTTTTGACTGATTTAATTGATAGATGGGCTTCTCAGGGGTGAGAGGCTGGTAGCCCTGGCTCTTGAATGTTTGTAAAGTCTTGTGTATGATGTGTACCCTTCCCACCTTAGAAAAACGCTCAAGTACTTTTGACATGTATTTCTATTTTATAGCCTCTTAAATTGACAATGAAATCTCCGTACTAGATTTTAGCAATTTCCCACTTTGTAAACATTTTATTATGCCCTTGATTATGCCCTCTTTTTTTTTTTTTCCCTATGGAACCTGATGTCTTTTAAAACAAAACAAGCTAGGTGGTAGTATGCTATCATCATTGTTGGCACAGCCCTTGGAATATGGTTAGCTATTAAACTGTAGTGAATGTTGACTAAATGGGGTTGTTGTGTATTCCTGCATAACCAAAGGACTCTTAAAAAAAAATTGTTTTTGAATTCCGAAATTGATTAAATGTCTTGAGCCTGAACTACTTCATTGGGGTACTTTTTAAGTTTATAAAAAGCATCCATCTTTAAGTTTTAAATGCAGGACCTCTTTTAAAATTCCCTTGATCTTAATTAAGCTGCTTAACTGATGGAAACAATCAGTTTAGCTTTTAATGTATATGGCTTTTAAATGTATAATAAAATGCCATAGGACTGGAAATATTGACTGTAATTTATTTTGCTAGTCAACGCTTTGAAAAAAATCAGCAAAACTTAACTTACATCAGTTTCTGTAGCAGCAGGTAAGAAGAAATTCACCTGCAAAGGAGCATTAAAAATATCTAAAATGCCTATGTGGCTAGCTTCTGTTGTGCTAAAAGACTTCTGCAATATTATGAAAAACAAATTGGCATTAAAATTAAATGAAAAAATACTTTCTATTGCAAAGCATATAGCTTCACACTTTACTGAGGGCATGAGAAAAGTGCATCACTTTGGGAACTGCTCTAAACACATTCTTTGGATAATGATGGGCTGCAGTTTTAATCGCATCAGTTTCTCCCTAAACTTCAGTGTATTTCTACTGAAGGAATGAAGAACTTAAAATGAACTCTTCCTGTAGGAAGAAAATTCTTAATTGTAATGCCTTAAGACAGTTAATATGACAAATCACTTGCCTTAAGTTTAGGTAAAATCATTGAGGGTGGGAATCTACTGTTAACCAGAGTAATATTTCAAAGTCCTTTCCCTTTAAATTCTGAGTTTATCAATTGGATGCTGATTAAAACTTGTCTTGATTGGACCATATTAGTATTACGTTTTGAGCTATTTCTTTTGGGACTCAAGGCTGCTCACAATTATGCTTAATATTCCTAATGATTAGCTACATGCTACATGGCCTCTGTTATGCTCCAGTAGATGACTTCTTCTGGTTTCTCTTAAGTTTTATTGTATAGTATGTTCAGAATCCTTTCATCACTTAAAATATGCATTCTAATCAATATGACACTTGGTATTTGCAGGTGCTGTGAGCGATGTTGAGATGCAGGAACATTATGATGAATTCTTTGAGGTATGTTAACTTACTGATTAAAATAAATCATAATCTTTAGACAATCTTGATGTTGCAAAAGTGAGTAGTTTGTGGC